TCATCTGCCCACCTAACTTTACGTCCCCCCTAACCAACTTGCCTTCTCTGTGAATCCAGTCAGTTACCCTAAATGACCAGGTTATCCTGCCTACGCGCTACGTGCCCGGCACATGTCCATTTCCTCTTTCACCGCCATGAGGGGCACCTGTATGAATGTTGCCTTCTCGAGCTTTCCACTGCGTCCTATTATCGAAGATCCTTTGGCAACATAATTTCATGTTCATAAAGTAATGATATTTAAAGGGAAACGAGTCTCCAAGCTCATGGAGAAACGCCCTTCTTGTATTTTATGGTGATGAATAGTGGGATTTTATGGCTCAAGGGCCATGGGTCACCGAAGCCCCCCATCGGATCTTTGGTATATATGTAATCTGAATAGCGCATGCATAAAACAATATTCTTCAAAGGGATACGGGCCCCTGAGCTCATCTAGCGACGCCCTTTTTGTACTTTGCAAAAGACCATATCTTGTGTATATAAAGTGTATATTAGAAGCGAAGCACCTCTTTGTCTAGTCTGTGTAATGCTATCCCCTGCGTTCATATGAACACCCCTCACCGCAGGTGCTGGAGCTGTGTCAAGTAGGTCAATAGCGGCTGCGCGTGGACGTGTCTCTCTCTTTCAGCCGCAGCAGCTGCCGGCTCCTCCACCCACTCGCATCATACTTCTCTCTCGCTTCAACCTCTCCACCGCCCGTAACACTTGACCACACGTCGAGTGGTAACACTCTGCGGCTCGTCTATCTGCGGTGAAACTTACACGAAACCCAACTCACTCCCATGTCTTTGCGTTTGAAACAACCTTTTGCTCGAGTAAACGCTACACCGAGTTTCGCTTCAAACCGTTTCTTCAGCACCCGCGTCGGCACCCGTTTTGACAGGGTCAACGTCGTGCGCACCGCTGCTGCTTCGCATACCATCGGGGTTCCTTTCGGAGAAATGGCCCATAATATTTAGTTCATTAAAATGTTTATAGTGCACACGAATATAAATTTATAAATGTTATGTATGTAATGTATATATATATTAAAACGTTGTCACTTCAATATATAATGGTAGGATATATATATATATATATATACACGCAAAATTCGCAGGTTACCCTGTCATCTCCAAACAAGCTACTCTAACATCATTCATATAGCAGTGATTTTTTTATGTTGAAAGCCCTTTCGCGCGGCTTCCTTGTTACCTATGACTTGGAATAATAATCTGTTGCCCGTTTAGCAGCTCAAAAGTAAAGTAGAGGGACCAACCATGAAACAACTGCTCGAAAAGAGCTTTTTTGAAGTACCATGTATCAGTCGAGCTTACCGCTACTAATTTTCCAGGCCAGAGCAACTAACTATCGTTTAAGACTAACATGAGACCTACTACTACGACAGTTGATGGTCTTCAAATCCATAGCTCGTGTGAACTACCTTATGTCATGCACTTCACTTGATCCAATTAGGTGGCAGTTCGCGTGCGGGAGTATTGTGCTACCCTTATTCAAGGCCTTCATCCGAAATACGCACGATTTCTGGTCAGTCTTCGAAGCCATCGCTAGCTTGCTTGCTTCTTGGTCTGTTACGCACGTAACGGACATTACTGTGGACACTGCCACATACCCACAACAGCGAAATGGCTAAGCACTGCCCTGTACAAGAATAAATCAAGCAGACGGGGAATGAGGTTATATTACTAACAGTAATAACGAGACAATAGATACTACAAAGTAAACAGTCATGGACTTCTCATACTTGTCGAATTTCACGTACAGCTTAATGTAAGTGTCCTTGGGGCACCTGTAGTCATCGTCATACCAGATGCTATTGTTTCTGGGAAATAAATCTATCGAGTCCGCTTCCGTCACATTAATGTCGCTTTAATGGAGTTTGGCCGCAAGCGTGGACTGCAAACATGTTGGAGCTTTAGAGAGCAAAAGAAATGGGACGAGCCAATTGGCAGTGTGGCGTAAATCGACAACTTCCGTCACGTTACAGTGAAAGTGGTGGCCCGTTCTTAATTGAGCAAAAACGAGAGTCAATGAAGCACAAACACACACACAACACACACACACACACATATATACATATATATATACATATATATATATATATATATATATATATATATATATATATAATATATATATATATATATATATATATATATATATATATATATGTATATATATATATATATATATTCATTTGTTGACGCTCACTTGGTCTTGTTTTTCCCTGTGGGGTAGTAAGAGCATTGAACAGGTGGCACAGACTGTTTTACGTATAAAATGGAACGTTTTTACCACCACTATGGTAGCTGGTGAGCATGTGTACGATACCAAATATTGATGCCTCTGTCTTTTTTCTGACGTATGTCCCGCGTATAAACCTCAGCGTTGGTTAGATGGTTAGGGCGTTTACTTCTAAAGCGGGTGGTACTGGGTTCGATTCCCATTGCCGAACGGGGGCACACTGGTTTTGTCCCAATAGGTAGAGTAGTACAACGACCTGGCACTCGGATGTTTTGGGTACTGATGTCGGAAGGTAGCCCCATAATGTTCTGCGAAAGCCCCTGGATGTACCTCAACCCCTCACAGCCTTGGTGGAATAGTTGAGCATCCGCTGCTGGTGGAGGAAGCAGAGAATTGCTGTCTCGCCAGGCACCTACTGGCTAAATGGGTACAAGTGCACTTCCGGCCTGGTGCTCGACAGAACGAAGTTCAAAGTCGCTTTGAAGGGCACCTGGCTTATGGGATATTGGCGGCATGGGACAGTCGTACCTTAAATTAAGGTCACCTTTCTTTTTTATTTATTTATTTCCTTTATTTCTCTCGGTTATTCCGCTCTTGTGCGCTTAAATGTTGCGTGAAAAAGAGCATATTTTGTACTGCAATACGTCTCATATATCCCTGCCTATACGTGAAAGAAAGCCTGCCATGGGACATACGTCACATAGACTCACCCTTCTCATTTTGACGGCCTGCACTGAACATACAGAACTTGCGTGCATACACTTTAAAACAGAAGCAAGTTCGAAGTCATTCATTTCGTAATGGCGAAGCGTCTCTTGATCAAGATCGATCCGGACATCGATATGCTTGCCTGTAAATATTTAAGCAGGTTGTACCGAGGAGTGGTGTTTGTGCTGTTACGAACAGTGGTGACAATATAAATACGTTATTTTCGTTGTATTTAGTTTTTTTCTCTCTCTTGTTTTTTGCTTGCAGCTCATTCTGTATTTAACGAAAGCTGAAAGGGAGTCAGGCAGCAGTTCAAGCGAAAAAATATGTCACTGAACAACAAGTGAAATAAGCGCTCCTATAAACTTTTTTTCTATTTTTGAAAACAAAAATAATAAAAATAAGCGACCCAATACGTCAGCCGATATTTGCCAGAAATGAGCTCCGGTGCCTAGAACTACACACATGTGAAAATAAGATGTTTTTTTAAGCATCCTCGGCCGAAGCTCCCTTTTACTGCGCACAGCGGCGAGCAATGTGACAAATGCGCTTGAGTTTTCATAACAAGCCTGCGCGCTGTCAAGTCGCCAGTTCCACAATATATAATACTAAAATTGATGGTACGTTGTTCTTTTTTCTTGTTGATTCTTCGTGATTTTCTTCGCAAGCAGAAAGAAATAAGCTGGCAGAATCCTTTAACTTAGATACGTTAGATACTATATCGCAGCCTTCAGATGAATTTTCTTCTCTGTAAAAAAACGTGTTATTGTATTATAAGACCGCATGCATCAGCCCAGATGGCGTACAGTTGCACATCTACTGCTTCATTTCAGTGTATCTGGGCGCCTAAAGTCTGCGCTAACTAGTTTTGAAAGGCAACCTGCAGAAAAGATTGTTACACACCCATTCCAAAATTCAGGGTAAGACAGTTGACTCTTTAGTTTCTGTTGCAGATGAGATGTGATTTCATCGGCCTCAACTTTTCGCATCTTACAAGGCGTAGTCCGCACCATACGTGTGCGCAGGGTTCTCCATCAGGGGGGTGGGAGGGTTCCTTGCAGCACCCCGTCTCTTTATTATGACAAAGTATTGCGCTGACTTTGCCCCCCTCCCCCCTTAAGTGACTAGGAGGGTGAAGATTGGTCGCCACCCCTGCCCTCTTTGTGTGCGCGCCTGTGCTCCGCACAACAACTGATCAGCCATGAAGTATCAATCAATAACGTATGCACAGCGAAGTCGCAAGTTGTCAAATGACGCAGCTTCTACAAGGCGTACAAATCTGTGTGCTGATGTATTTAGCTGGGATAGTTCGTACTGGCTTAATGGATTCATATAATACGAAAGAACGCAGAAAAAAGACAGAGCATTCAGACTATAGTGGATTGTCCTGTGTTGTTCTGTGCAGTATCTGTACCATGTGTTCGCTCGAGAGAGATAGAGAATTATTTATTGAAATGTAAATAACTTGGGCAGCATGTTGAAATCATGAACAGGATGCTGTGCGTGGGAAAGGGGACGTGGGAGAGAAAGACAAGAGATGCGCGAGAAGATAAAGTCAAGAAATGTGAAAAGTGGAGGGAAAAAAGACTGGGATGCTGTGACTCATATCAGGATATCGTCGACCAGATCGACAAGATATAGTTGTACGTCACTTGTCACCATCATTCACCTTCCACGAGGCCAAGCGTGTCATTTTACTGTAAGAGGATGTACGCAATGAAAGATGTTACGAGCACACGTGTTCGCTAGTATTGTGCACTCTAGTTCTCGTGTACTTTCGGCACCTCTAACATGCGACAGTAATGCGTCCCTGCAATTTGTGGCACATACAATAGATCACTTAAACAAAGGCTAAACCTGGCGCCGCGAACCGGTTTGTTGTTGCTTACACGTTCGAAAAACATATATCGGTCATGTGTGTATCTTTACACGCACTGGGGGCAAAGTGAACGACGCGCCGTATCGCTGCCACCGACGGGGGCGGAGCCTTGCACGTGGCCGAAAGTATACATAGCAGCAGCAAGCCAGTCGTCACGCCACTTGCCCCACCGTGCCGCCGCCGCCGCCTCATTGCTTTCTCTCGTCTATCCGCCATGGCTGTCGTTGCTCCGATGGATGCCTCGTACGTGCCTAAGGTACTGCACTCGCTTACCGACGAGGACGAAGCATGGCGCAAGTATGCCACCAATGACGAGGCCTGCGTCCTGGTCATCTACACCGGAGGCACCATCGGCATGGTCAAGGATGATGACGGAGGTGGGTGGGTGCACACAGCCCGCCGCTGTGCAATTAAGTAGATGGCGCGACCAGAGCACTCTTCCTGCGTTTCCGTTTACGCGTTTGGCGAGCTGTCAATGTTGTTCGGCTGAGGAGCATAGGTTTACTCACTCCCAATGCAACGAAAGCAATCTTCAAATAAGTAGCGCATCGAAAAAAGAAATGGAGGTGAAAAACGGAGACGTAGACAGCACAAGCGCTGCTTCGAACCATGTTTATATGGCAACACAGGATATATATATATATATATATATATATATATATATATATATATATATATACATATATATATATATATATATCGCACAGATATCGTCTTCATTTGTCTCTTTTTCTTGCGTGCTCCCCATTTGATGCTGTGCATCTTTACCAAACTGCGCAAGTTGACGCGCTTGACAGTAACATTCAACATTGTGCAAAATGCCCAAGCCAACAATTTCTAGTAATTATCCTGTTACCTTCCATGTGACTTGCTGTTCAGTGCACGAACCGACAGATAAAGAACGCGACGGGAATGTGCTCCTTACAAAACTGCAGTAATTGCAATTGACTGGAAATGCCAGAGTAACTCGCTTATAGCATTCCGTGAGGGGCTCCGCTTTGGCGTTAGCTAAAGGTACTGTCAATTTGTTTCCCCTTGTGCACAAGTCTCTGCATCATGGCAGCCTGTTAATGCGATTCATTGCTGCCTCTCGTTTCGAGCATTGTTAGCCTGTTTATCTACTCGCTTGGCGAGTCGGGCTTTTGTAAACTGATCAGCTTTGTTTTGAATTTTTCTCAACGTTCCGGGGTGCATGCCTTGTGAATTCAGATAGATGCAGTCATTTTAGTCTGTGCTTTTTCAGCACACCTGACACCTGATTTTAATCATCCCCTTGTTTTCGCTTGACACTTAATGCTATGGAAAGAAAAAGCGCGCTCGCACACACACACAAAAAAACTAGCATAAAGTGGACTTTAAGTATCCTAATGATTATGTAAAGTCGCCGCGTCGTGGAGGAATGTAAGGGCTTGCTACGTGATATAAATACCATTTACTTTGTGTGCCATGGTTTTAATAAATTGTTAGCGCTCGCATCGTCACCTTTTTCTCGTGTGTTCTCCCAATTTTTCTGACAACCTTTTCTCCGAAAGATGTTCCAAGTTGCCAAACATTCCATTCTGCTAAGTTAACCATCGTTGACGATTGTATACATGGGTTCCCCTATTCAACGCAGACCCTCAATTGTTGCTTACACTTGTCGGTACCAACAACACTACACAAAAGGAGAACTCGTTTCCCCTCGGTTTATTCCGTTTTTTTTTTTTTTGGGGGGGGGGAGTCCACACCGGCTTCGTTCGTTATTTGCTGCAGCTGCTCGCCTCGTCAAACTGCGAAGGCAGCAGAAAACGCGGGACTCGATCGACCGGCCCCTTCGTCCTCCCTTTTGTCTGCTTCCGGTCGTCGGGACTCGTCGCAGAGTGATGCGTTCCCCGTGCGGGGTGGTGCCCTGACTATCTCGGCCCGCCATCGTCCGGTCTGTTTCAACTACCGAGCCCGCCGGCCGATAAGTGGCTTCAGTGGGAACAATTCATCTAGCTTTACTAGAACCCAGCCTTGTGCTTCGTAAGGCACATTTCAGAAACAAGACCATGAACGCGAGGTGTTTTTCGCTCATGACACATTGAAGGGTCTGTTAGTTTAGAAAGGAAGCCAAAACACACGCACATCATAAAATGTATCAGGAAAACAGCTGCTGAACCAGGGGCGTTCCAAGAGTTCGAACCCCTCTTGACTACTCCCCTCTGCTGAACAACTTGGGTGAAGGTATTTACTACAGCAAGCAATTATTTAGGACCCATTAACTTTTTCTGTTGATGTAGTTATTCACAGATGGCCTGCCAAAGATGCAGTAAATGTTAGCCAGCACTTACCATTACTTAGCCAATGTTGGCAATCGCACCACACGACACTAACCCTCCTCCGCGGTGGTGTAGAGGTTATGGTTGACACTCGGGATTTTTCATTTACGTTATTTAGGTTATATTGAATCGCGCACGAGTTTCCATAGGGAAAGCATGAAGTACACTGTTCGTGCAAACACCATAGGATGCAACATCATAGTTAGGTTGAACTTCCTCTGCGATGGTACGGCAGTTACGGTGCTCGGCTGCTGAACCGAAGGTCTCTGGTTCGATCCCATTTCGATGGCGGTGATATGCAAGAGGCACGTGCACTTTGCAAAGTCCAGTGCACGTTAACACACTCCAGATAATCAAGATTTCTAGAGCCGTACACTACGCCATCCCTAATGACGTATCGGTATTTCAAGTTCCTAAACCAGAATAATATTTAATATTGTTACATTGAACTATGTAGTTTTCATAGGCGTGCTTTCAGTTCGACTTCCACTGTTCAATTTTTCCTAATCTAGCTTTCTTGACGACTCGCGAAAGAGGCAAGTCTTTTCTGTCCAAAATGCGTCGTGAGCCACTTGTCGAGTCTAGCCGATAACCTCATATAGCCTCTTTGTTGACCTCTGTTGGCTTGAGACAACGCAGCCTTCGGCAGCGTTATACGGGGCGGTAACAGGCGATAAGGTCATCCACAAATAGTCTGCTCCGGTCACTTGAGGCTTGCGCATATTTGGTGAACTTCTTGGTGGGCGTCTGTAGCAAAGCCACGTGCGCACACTGCAAACATAAAAAAAAGAAACTACTGGTGGGCGTCTTTAGCAAAGCCACGTGCACACTCTGCAAAAGAGAAGAAAAAAAAGAAAGCTGAGTGACATTCAATGCATGACTCCTGCCATTTTGATGGCTTTCCCCTCAACTTCTGTCTTGATATCGCGTCTCATAGGAACGCTCGAATATCGGTTGGCTCAGTGGTAATGAAAATAACTTGGCTCTACTGTGTGGCAATACGGCTCTCGGATTGTGCGATTCCCTTGTGATGTTCGCTCACGTGTTGTTCTAAGGTGTACTAATTAACCGGCTTGCTAGTGCATCAGACGCTGGTCCGTTATGTCTACATGCTATTAGGCTAGCTTCTCCTACCGTTCTCGAACTCTACTGTATTTAAGCTCGACAGACAGTTTATGTGCAAACCTATATACCTTTACACATTATGAGCTCTAGACTACGATGAGTCGTCCAGTTATGCTTATCATTTAAATATCTAAATATGTTAACTCTTCAGCACTTCCTGGTAATGCAGAGAATAGAGGAAGGAAAAAAACAATTGTTTGTAAACAAAGGCTTGCCTAGTGTCCGTACTAGCTGCCTATTGCTCTGCAAGGCTAATGGAGAGGAAGAGAAACCTCTGTAGCCAGGGCCAAGAGCTGCACAAACATACGTCATTTTTTTCATTTTGCGTTTTTTTTACTTGCCTTACAGTACGAGACGTGTATCGCATTCTTTGGAATGCGCAGCTTCCAACTTTCTTCTGTCATTTCTTTAGTACTGGAAGCGTGTGTTGGTGGGTGGACGCGCTTACCGGGCTGTTGCACGGTCATTGAGTTGGAAATAGGTTCCTCGCGTTTACCACTTAGTCCTGTAGTTTTCGGTGCAAGCTCAAACTTCTCTTAGCATTCCAGCTTATTATGCCGCTCAGTGCCTTTCCTTTGACACTCCTTTTTGTGAGCTTTTTGCCCTCATATTTTTGCAATAAAGCGTGAATATAAGTAATTATCTCAACTGCGAATTCCATAACAAGATATGTTAGGTTCTAGGAAGCAGCAAACCCACTTACATGTAAACGCACTACATATATGAGCTAAATTGATTAGCTCTCGTTAATTAGCTCATGCGTCGCAGTTCTCAAGCCGGCGCCGGGAATCCTGGACAAGCGGCTTCGCGAGTTCCCACAGCTTCACGACCGGGAATACGCCAAGGAGCACTTCGGAGACTGCGAGAAGCCTCCTCTGGTCCTGCCGTGAGTTGTGCCTCGTAATTATGCATGTACAGTTCAGTATAAGTTCTGTCTGATATCGTTGGAGAAAGTAAAGGCTCGTGGATATGTAGACAAAAAAACACTCGTCCCTTCCCACACTGTTTCATTGTTCTGTTTAGCCAGCGCCGGAAAGCTGACCCAAGATGGCTGGTGTGCCCCCTTTTATCCTCCCCCTTCGCCAAAAAATCTCGGGTCCCCCCCCCCCCCCTTCCTTCGACCAGTGAAAACAATTCTCACACCACTCGTGACGAAAAGACCGACCCCGAATAGCCGAACTCTGGCAGATATTTGTAAGCGCGCCATAAAGTATCTTGCCGGTACTTAGCTACGGAGCAGAAACCTGGAGACTTACAAAGAGGGTTCAGCTTAAATTGAGGACGACGCAGCGAGCAATGGAAAGAAAAATGGCAGGTGTGACCTTAAGAGACGAGAAGAGAGCAGAGTGGATTAGGGGTCAAACGGGGGTTAAGGATATCATAGTTGAAATAAAGAAGAGGAAATGGACATAGGCCGGGCATGTAGCGCGTAGATAGGATAACCGCTGGTCATTAAGGGTAACGAACTGAATTCCCAGAGAAGGAAAACGGGTTAGGGGGAGACAGAAGGTTAGGAGGGCAGATGAGATTAAGAAGTTTGCGGGTATAAATTGGCAGCAGCAAGCACAGGACCGGGTTAACTGGCGAAACATGGGAGAGGCCTTTGTCCTGCAGTGGACGTAGTCAGCGGACGATGATGATGATGATAAAGACATGCTAGAGAAAGTCAAAGGGGGGGCGTAGTTAAGGAGGGAGGTGGGGGGGGGGGGAGTGTTGGTGTAAACTCTCCCCATGAAATTTTTCGGTTTTGCTTCCGTATAGGTATATACGCGCGCACAGTTCAATAGCACCCCTGAAATAACGTTCTGGCTACGCCCCTGCATGACAGTGCATGAAGAAATTGCGCCACGGAATTGGGCAAATCACAACAGACGAGGCAAACTCGGCGCTTGTGCTTGCGTGTAGCTCAGTAATTTTATTTTGTTGTGTTGTTTCATATTTCTGAGTGGCAGTATCACCCGTCAATGAGGCGCACGAGTCCGCGTGAGAATTTTTAGACACATCGTTTTCTTTTTGCGAGGTAACGTACCCTCAAGACAGAAAGCGGTCATACGATCGCCATCCGTCTTGAAGGTACGTCTTCAAGATCCGTCTTGAAGATCGGCAAACTGCGAGCTCAAATCTCAAATGTTCCTGTTTCACTATGCGCGCTAGGAGCACAGTCGAAATGGCCGAGATTTGTACTGGTCGGTTTTTAGCGGATGCTAGGTGGCGGCGCTTGATATCCAAGGCGAATTTCGAAATTTACTCGGCGCATTTAGTCAAAGCCACTGATATGTCAAAATGGAAGAAAACTGACAGGCACAAACGGTGCCGCATTAGCTTAGAGCCAGCACCGTTTTCTAGGTCTGCTTTTTTACAACTTAAATTTATTGTAGCAATGTGCAAACTTGCCAACAAGCAACTATCTTGACCTGGCGCAAGTTCACACTGTCATTTGCAGTTAAATTCAATAATCCTCTTTGCAATAAATAACTAGATATATAACTATGTAGCTCCTTTGTTGCTGCTTTTTTTTTCAACTATTATGCTTACCTTTTTCTGATTCTCCAGTGTGACCGGCGATCCACGACGAGTAATATACACAATAGCCGAATATGATCCCTTGCTGGACTCTTCCAACGCCACCATGGACGACTGGCTGCAAATTGCTGCAGACATCAAGGCATGTTTACTCTTTATGTCCATAAAAGATGCTAGTGTATTTGAAACTATCGTCCTGCTAATTGTCCTGCATGTGTGATTGTTAGTCACAATGATCGTTCTTCTGTTGTTCCGGTATTTCATCGAATCAGTTAACATCGGAGCTCTAAGGTTGCATTTCAGACTGATTAAAGATAATAAAGCTAACACAATACCTCATTTGTCTAAAATGTTATAAAATTTTAACCATCGTTGGTTAGCGCGAAAATTGACAAAACACTCTGAAGAGAACGTGAGAAATGCTGGTCGAACAACTGAAATATAGTTGCAAAAAAATGCGCATATATATGTATGTATGTATGTATATGTATGTATGTATGTATGTATGTACCTGTGTGTGTGAACATGTCCCACGCAACATTACACCCGATCAATGACACGTGTTCCTTGTTCTCATAATTCAGCTGGTGGCTGACTAATACAATTGCCAAATTTCCAACCCACTTCGCCGTGTGCTTTGCCTCGGCCATCTCGCATGTCCGTTGATTATGATGCCAATCAACATCTGCGCAAACAAACACAGGCGTGCAATCACCTCAATTACTTGCGAGGTAAACACACTCTCCTCTACCTTTAGAGAATTGCCATCCTCTCACGACTTGACATCAACACATGTGACAGTCTGACCAATGTAGACACTGCTGCACATGCAAGTTAATCTATATACCACCCCGGTAGAGCCCGTTGCGTACTTATTAATGCGCTTCATTGAGCAATCGCTATCAATAGCCCTTACATCCCACCCCTTACGTGTCTTTCAATCATGCCCCTTAAGCTCAATTTATTTCTACTCAAGGAGAAAAATGTCACCCCAGGAATGCCTCCCGAGTTTCTTTAATCTTTGTGACATAAAACGTACATGTAGGAATCGCTTCGATTGATATGTGGGGTTTAACGTCCCAAAACGACCATATGATTATAAGAGACTCCGTAGTGGAGGGCTCCGGCAATTCCGACCACCTGGAGTTCTTTAATGTGCACCCAAATCTGAGCACATGGACATACAACATTTCCGCCTCCGTCGGAAATGCAGCCGCCGCAGCCGGGATTCGATCCCGCAACCTGCTGGTCAGCCGCCCAGTACCTTAGTCACTAGGCCACCGCGGCGAGGCATGTAGGAATCGCTGCCAAAACGCTTACGGTCGCATTGTGCAGTTGCAGACTGGTTGGCAGACTGTGCAATAGTTTTCATTCTCTTTAGCAAACTCTCACATGCAGAAACCAGAAAGGTAGTAGAAAAACTCGCCGTCCTAAGGTGATCACACTCTATTCATATTCGCGGTAACAATGGACGTGTAGATTTTGAAATTTTCCCATTGGCTTTCCATGCGCTCCAGTTTTATCTTGCCATTCCTACCACATATTTCCTTTTCTCTTTTTTTTTCTTACCTGCAGAAGTACTACGACTCCTATCAAGGCTTTATTGTGCTACACGGCACAGACACTATGGCCTACACATCCTCTGCACTTTCCTTCCTGCTGGAAAACCTGGGGAAATCTGTCGTCGTCACTGGTTCCCAGGTATCCTTCAAACATGTTTCTCACGTCAAGCACATTAGTATTTTCACGTGGTTCTGACGGCACAGAACGCCATCACAGCCGATAAAGGTGCAATTCTTTATTGGGTGAGCTTGTGTCCAGGAAAAGAGTGACACTCTATTTGCAAAGATTTCACCACACAGTGTCGATCGTCAAATAATCTCATCAGACCTACAGCGCGTCGCCATTTTCTATGTGGTATTCAAGATTCTAACATTATCGTTAGTCGCCGCGTTAGTTACCTAAGAAGAAACTCAATTTCTCAGGTTGGATGCACATTAATGTGATACGGTTCTAGTGCAATCGATAATATGAGATTCGGACCAGGTTCGCACAAGGTTACATTAGCACTGGGCTGGTTACATAAAATATGAAAAACAAACATGCGTGGCAATATCGAACGGAATCCTTCATTACGATTTGTTTGACTCTTGCCTACAGGACACCATTCTCAACGTCAAAACTATATAAAATACACATTATGGCAACGGTCTTCTTCGTAGGTTTTCGTGCGCTTTAAATGCTATTCACGATCTCTCCCACTCTTTGCTTCTAAAAGGCTGCTGCTTAGTTTGCATTTTCATCCTTCAGTATGTCAGATTCTCGTCGGTGTTAAAGAATCTCGCCCTTTTACGTTTTCATCAGACCACCTTTAAACATCATTATATTCACCTAAAGTCAGTTTCAGAAAAGCTTTTCACAGAGCATAAAAGCTGGTGGAAGGGTACTGCATAATTTGTTTAGTAAACATGTGTGCATGGCAGGTCGACTCGCGATGATTTCATACCATCGACGTATACCCCTTCATGTGCAAATTTTATTTTATACAGATGTCACTGTCATAATTGGCACCGTACAAAGGAACACACAAAAATGACGTGAAAATTAAGGCATTGCGAACGCTTAGAATTCATAACATGTTTTGACGTGAATTGACGAGAATTGAATTAATTTGGTACTGATTGACTTCAAGTGATCATATCTCAACACATTCTATGGATGTATGAGCGCAGTATGGTCATAACTGTTTGCCATTTTTCCTTCTGATCGTAACTAATGTTTTTCTCAATAGCAAGATCCATAATTTTGCTGTGGTTTAATTCGCCAGACCGATTCGCGTACTATGTTTCCGTTTAATGCCCTTCTCAGTGGCTCGTTCTCTAAAATAGAGCTTTGGTGCACAAATGTCTGTGTATTTTTTCTTTTTTTTTTTTGTATACAGATACCAGTGTTCGAACCCCGCAGTGATGGAAGAGATAACATTCTGAATTCCCTCATCGTTGCCGGAAACTACGTAATACCGGAAGTGAGTCTCTTTAACTACTGAAGTCTTGTTATAGTGCTACCCCTTCAGAAGTATGTATCCAGCGCTTACCAAGGGTGATGACCATGGACGTAGCATATTGCATGATCTCGCATCTCCAACAGGTGACCCTTATGTTCCACAATCAACTCTTCCGTGGGAACCGTGTGAGCAAGTTTAGCATTTCTCACCTTGATGCGTTCGCATCGTTCAACATGGCGCCTCTCATCACCATCGGCATCAACATCGAGAGTAAGTCCTCAACTGTGTTGCAGTTATGGAGGTGACCGAAATTTTATTTGCTGCATCGTGGTGAAATGTGGACATATTTTGTATAGCGTCGTCTAATGGCTGCATGCAGATAACATCTAAAATACATACCTTAAACGTCAATTCGAAAAATGCATCGTGTCTGAGAGCATTTATTGTCAAAATGAACAAGTTACGATAATGTATTAACTTATTATTTTCTTCAGTTACTTGGCGTCTGATTCTCCCTGATCCAAAGGGTGTGGACTTTCGTGCTCACGACAAGCTAAACCGTGATGTTGGTCTTCTGCGTCTCTTTCCCAGCATCACTGCCGAACTGGTGAGCAAAATTTCACGAACTGTGAATGCCCGAGTGCCTTGAATCTTCCATACATATCTTAAATTAGTCTTCGAAGTCGTGCGTCATTCCGACGGTTTACTGCGAGGCGGGAGCATGGAAAGAAAGATCACACTGGGGTTGTGGCAATCGTAACGTAAAGCAAACGCATTGCCTTTCAGTGCATCTGTGTGCGTATAACGAGTCTCCGATGGGCTATATATGGGGCACTGGTCGACAGAAATACGATTTCAACCCACGTGGCGTCACGGATACGCCGCCATAAAACCAGCACGCCTGCAGTGTCCTTCATCTTTTGGCTAAAGATCAGCGCTGCGATGCCAAGCTTTTGCGCTTGCCACAGTGCAGAATCTCCGGCGTATCGCCCTTCTATTCATTCTAAGCGCCTCGCTTTACACATTCAATCTTGCTACGCCTTTCGATTACCTTGCCTAATCTATCTTTATTTTCTGTTTCTTTGTTCATTGTTCTTATCTTCACATGTGATGGTGCGCGCCATATCTCTGAATAGGCGCCTTCAATACAAGCACATGTGTAACGCACAAATGGTTTTCAGACGGCTGCATGACTGATCTGAAGCGCAATACGATGCAAAATTCAAATTTACGGCTTTTATAGTTACTAAAGTGACTGAAGATAGCGTACCTAAAAACATAGCAGTTAAAGTATTTGCTCTTGAAATAGTCATTGCGATTCCGTAAGCCACAATCGTTACAGAATGTGAAGCTGACAAATTTGAAGCCGCAAATCGCACCTTGCATGCCCTTCTTTACAACCTTTCTTTAGCATGCTAGCCTGATACTTCAGGGCAGTGTGCAATAACCACTTTCGCGTGTCCATTTTGGGAAATATATATATATGTGTGCACACCTTTTATTCAGCGTTACGCTGCATCGTACAAAGCTGATTCGGCACCGTAACAAACTTGAATAGAAGCAAAGACACTAAACCAAAGTGAATCACTGAACTGGCAGCTGCATGACTGCTCATTCAAAAACTTAGAAACTTTACAATAACAAGTCGTGCGTCATCATCATAATATGGTACAAAAAAAAACGGTTACAGAATTAAGCAAGCACGACAAAAAAATTTGTCATTAGTTAAATTACATTTAGAGAAGAAACTTGTAGTGAGAGGCTACAGACGCATTGGTGATTAACCCCATCCCATTTTTTCTTGTATATCGTAGACTTCTTCAACTTCTTGTCGTTTAATCCTTGAGGAAAGACAAATAGTGGGGGCACACTAGTTATGCGTAAAAATCTCTTGTATGTATTGCGAGATCCGTATGCTTATAGTTCTTTTTGTGTAATTCAAACACTCCTTTAGCGTGGTGTTGCCGCATTTGCCGTAGTAGCCGTCAAATGCATATCTTCACTGGAATAGCGCGCAGTGCACTGATGAAGAGCAACAAACTGATTAGTTTCCTAAATAACACGGCAACTGGACTTATTACTCGAATTTGCAGTGCAGCTGCTCGATCTCAATGAGCTTTTGCACAGCCAGAACCTGTTTTTAGTCGGGCGCACGACTGTCACTCCACAACTAGCAGCTTTATTTTCAGCCTATATAGACTGAATGCTACAAAACGGACTGCACACAATTGTATCGCGTTAAAGTATAGCGACTAAAGGTGCGATAGCTCTCAAACACTGTGGCCAGTGCGATCAAGTTGCAGCAAATTACTGGCTTCATCAATCTATATCCTGTTATCAACGCCCAGGTGGAGGCCTTCCTTAAGCCTCCCATTGAAGGCGTTGTTCTTCAAACCTACGGAGCTGGCAACGCGCCCACTGCCCGCAAGGACATCATGGAAGCTCTCCGAAGCGCTACCAAACGCGGAGTCCTTATCCTCAACTGTTCCCAGTGCCAGCACGGAGCGGTGGATCCGGCCTACGAGACGGGAAACGTGAGTTTGTGGCCGCTAGTTACCTTGTCACCAGTTGATGTCAACTGCTTTGGACGGCACTTTGCAACACTCGATCCAACAGCTTTGAGGTTTATTTGACTTATCTTTTTGAATTTGCTAAGTAGAATGATACGTTCGAGCGAGCTGGAAAACAAAGAACGCACGAGGTTTGAGTGCCTCTCGACGGAGTGGTAATCTACGAACAGCAATTGGATGACGAGTAGATCAGTTTGATCGGTTACGAATCAGTTTCGTGAAAGTTTCATCTGAAGAAGAGATGGTGGAATGAGTTATCAAGATGACGAACAAAGAAAAGTAGAGCCAGAATCCTATATACGATTATGGGTGAACCATCTTCGATCGCTTGTATGCAGTTCTCGTCAATGTTCGGCTGACGTGGCTCGCTGTGCCAGTTCTTGCCTTGAGCGAATGAGACGAGGCGCAGCACACGTAAAACGCGTGTTTACACAAGCACGATCCCACTCGCGCCCCAGCGGAAGCTCTTTCGATAAGCCTTACACAAAGCCTCGTATATGCCATTGCATGTGTCTTTGCGACATTTTGTGATTCGAACAACTGTATACAGGAACTGGTCGACGTGGGAGTCATTCCCGGTGGCGACATGACTCCGGAGGCGGGGCTGACAAAGCTGGCTTACGTTCTCGCCAAGAGCGAGTGGACTCTCGACCAAAAGAAAAAGGTGAGCTTATAGAATTACATTTTACTTAAACAAAAACTCTCCAGGACATACCCATTTAATGCAAAATAAATGCGTAGATGTCTCAATTTGACATAAAGTAGTACGAGCAGAACTAATTTGGTAGACCAAAAATGCGTACATAAAACATCTTTATCTGATTTAGCGCTTTTATGCTTCGTCTAGAAAGAAACAAGTTAAAGCCACTTTAAAGCCGGTGACATACGAGACAACAGTGGCTCTGCCAGGCAATCGCCCCCGACTGAAGAACTCGTATTGTTTTCCTTCATAATCGTTCTGGGCTCTTTATCTTTTCACTCTCCTTTCCATCACTTGTCCTCACCCTCTCTAGCAATTATCTTGCTAAAGTATTTACAGGAGCACGGTTATCTCGTGCTTTAACCGCTCCCCTTTTCCATTCCTTCCTGCTCAATTCCCTTTCTCACCCTCTTACCACGCTACGATCTGCATAATAAGCTGTGCTTAAAGCTCCTCGGCAAATACCTGCTTTCAGTGTCGTATAACGGCTGAGTTCGACCGCAGACACAGCTTTACCAGAAAATAGAAATCTCCTCTTCTCTGGACCAAAATAAAGTATTGATAATCAATTATCATCATCGTGCTCTACCGTCGTGCATATGCGTTATGATCTCCAAAAGGCATTGACATGTGAAAACAAACTATGACGCTATTGATTCACTTTTTCAGAAACTGCAGGAGAGTCTGCGTGGTGAGCTGACAACCGGAACAGGTGACGCGGGCTGGGAGGATCAGTACAAGACGCTCAATCTGATGGGACCATGGAAGGCTCTGTTCATTCGCTGATACTGCTTTCCTTTCGCAACTCAGTAACTTTAATCGCTACAGTGAATTTTGTACCCTGTTTGTCATGAATATTTACCTCAGTGCAATGTATCGTGAAAATATCTGCCGACTTTGTTAACAATAAAATGTCCTTCTGCACTTTTCAATACTTCTCACAAGTAGGAAACAGCTGTTTCCTTTTCTCTTCTTCTTCTAGGGCAGGGCTACGTTCTACATTAGGCAGCTGCGTGAATGCACATAGATTTCGACTCTTTGATCCATCGGCAGGGCGGTTTGGCTTCCCATTGTTTTCCTCAGTGAAATGACCGACAGCCTCTCGTGACACATGCAGTTGTGAAGAGTCGTCGCACGCTTGCGCACGATATCTGAATCAACCTGACGAGTCTCAAAGCAAATAGCGTGCATTAGTGCAAAAAACGTCCATTATCTCAATGAATATTCAAGCCCTGTCTTGCCATAGAAACAACGTGCAATGGCCCCTTGTGCGCTGTTCAAGCTCGTGTAATCTGCAGTAAGAACGCAGTCTTTTTTTTTTTTTTCATTCGTACAATTCTTTACGCTCGCTTTCCCGATGACTTACTTCATTTTATTACCATTCCTCGCTCTCGACGCGAAAGTTAGCCAGACAGGATAACTTTCGATTAGCCTCCTTAAGAAACTCCAAACGTGTTCCACAAAGATTCACACTATTATAGCTGCAAGTATCGGCAAATATTTGACGGCGTGGCGTTTACGCCTAAAGAAAAGAAACTTCAGAGACTACGACAACGATATAGATATTTGGCGGAAAGAAATGATTAACGTCTATCAGGAAGATAGAAGTATGTCCGCATGGCATACGGTATACATTTGTAAAATTACGCTACTTATTTATTTGCTTTTTTTGTGGACACTTCAGAGACGAAGTGCACGTACGCTGAAGGTAAGTTTGAAGGCAAGCGTTTTTGTCAGCCAAACCACGCTATTCTAAGCCAGCTTTTGGCGTGCAGTGTTCGCGCAGAGTAATTCTGTGGATCAGGTCATGGGAGTTATTTTTTTCACAAGACTTCATTGGGAGTCCTGAATCGCGGTCTTCTCGGAGCGAGGCGGGTCGAATCCACGGCGGTAACGTCAGGCGGAGCCTTGAGGCACCATCGTGGACCCTCTGGACAGCCCCGTAGCATAATCTTGATAGGAAGAGCTGGAGACAATGTTTTGTCAGTGAAGCCATTTTTCATCGGGGTTGGTGAGAGTCGTGGGACAGCCCGCCAGCACGTGTGATTTCAGTGATGCCGCCACACGCAGTACATTCTTTTATAATTTCTCTTTCAGGGTGAATTTTATTTAGGAAATACCGAGTCGGGTAAGTTCCGGTTTCAACTAACGCTTCATTCAGTGGACAAGACCCTAAAACAGACTTCAGTTTTATTTTGTCTACCATTAAAGCAGACCGCACTATAGTCTATTTTTGATGGCTTCTGCTGATCGCAAATATCAAGTTTCCTTGTCTTTTCTTGCGTGGATGGGCCTCACCCAAGGAGGCTACATCCGAACATCAATAATTGGTGTACGCGGTTGCTCGTCAATGAATTAAAACACTGCGCAGAATCATACGCGTAAAAATTTCGACGTGCGAAGCCCATTTTCGGCAGGTGTTAATATGAGGTTACCAATATTAGCAGTATATAAACTATGTTGTAGTGAGCTAAAGCAGCATAACGTGGTGTGTTGGGTACTGCGGATACTCTCGGAAAGATGTATTGCGCGCCTGATAGTTTTAAAACTCCGAAGCCACTTTAATCTTAGCTGTCATTAACGGATTTATAAAGGGGTGATATTAGCTTGACAATAGCATTCGGTAAGCTCTTACACAACTCCTGCATTGATATGTATTCGGTGTTTTTCTGCCATACAATGGTGTTTATTTTTGTGTATCTGTTTTACTTAGACTTCTACGAGCTCAAGAGAGGGCGGGGTGATGTCATAAATTTTCTTCACTTGAAGAAAGTGTGACACTGCCTTTTCTTTGTAGCACACCTGAAATTTAAGGCCAGTACACTGCGACAGCAGGAAACTGCAAATATATAGATACGTTATGTATATGTATTAGAAATCTATGGAACCATAACTTAAATACGATGAGAATGGTTCCAGCTAGTAACTCCTAGCATGTGCCACCGACAGCTAAATAAGAATACAAAGGACGCTGGCTGACCACACTTTGACGCACGCATATGCAAAACATTCCTCTTTTTTTAATCATTTTGGAAAACCAAAATACAAATAACGTTGAAGTAAAAAAAAGTGAATTGTCAATAAATTGAACGGATTTTTTTCACAACACGTTGCAATAAAAGGAACTTGTTTTAAACTAAGTGCATTATTCGCTACAGAAGTTCAAGTCACTAAACTGTGAAAACAAACAATCATCAGTGAATGAAGAGTGCCTTCCAAGGTCCCATTAGGTTGACTATGTTATACTGGTCCTTCGTGCCGGCGTCATCCTGTCCTGTGGTCAACTCACCACGGAGGTTCTCCTGCAGCTTCTGAAATAACAACAAAAACAAAGCCGTGGTCTTGAAATTCGTTTCCACAAACAAAAAGAAGCGGCAGTGCCCGTCGACAATCTTGCATGCGTAAAGTATGCAGTAACGTACTGAATCTATCATCTACTTTTATTTTTCTTGTGCTGAAGTGTCTTGCGCGTGCGCGTTTCAGCACCTCAGTACACAGAGGACTTCATGTTCAACTGAAAACGGCACAAAGCCCGCAGAAGGCAGCTGAATGTTACCACTCTTTAAGTTTAAACTTGAAAAAGCAGTGCAAAAAAAAAGGTGACACGAGGACAAAAATAGATTTTTTCATTGACGAAACCAACAATATGTAGATACACGAAAGAATGAAAAAAAGTGTTTAGATCACAATTTTTAGGCACATGCATGACATGAAATCACCGATTTCTTTTTCAAATAGATGGAGCGCTTACACATCGACCACCCCTTCGGGGGATGGCCTTTCGCCACTTTTTATGTTTTTACTGAAGTTTAGACATTCTTTCATTTTTTTGGAAGCTTGCAGGACAACTGACAAGGGGTTTGATGAAAAATTAGGAGTATAAAGTTATAGCTAAGTCAAATAAGTCTTTCTCTCCCCAAGTTATTCTTTGACATAATTCTATCTGCCTACCTCGATAGTGTTTCTTTGAAAATGCAGATACTCAAAAAATTTGATCACGTGTTCTCTCTTGTTGCCTTTTCTTTTGTGTGTGTAAAAGAAACGTCTTTCAACACAAATATTCTTAAGTGAGATAGTCATTTCTTGAATATTCGGCTAAACCTCCAAGAAAAACGAGACAGTCAACACACAAAATACAGCTAGCGCTCACAATCAACTAAGATGATAGTATGCGCTGTGTCCCGTGTAGTCACTGTACCATTTTTTTTTCTTTCTTTTTCTCCTGAGTTGTTCTGCGAAAATGAACTTTCAATGCTTATTTTTGTATCTAAACTTCGTGCACGAGCATATATAACTCTGTGACCTCACCTTTTTCTTTTCGTCCAGAGACCACTCGCTCTTTGAGAGAACGTAAGCCAACTTCGTCAGTCCCGCCTCTGGAGTCATGTCGCCGCCGGGAATGACTCCCACCTCGATCAGTTCCTGCAGTTGGTCGAATCACTGAGCGTAAGATGCTTGACCACTCGGACTGTTGAAGGCAAACATTCAGGTAATGACAACACTTTGCGCTGATGCAAACTAATTTTTGTGTATAGACACGCCCATGTGCCCTCTTTCGTCGCCTTTCCCTCATTTTGTTCTCTCTCTCTTTCTCTCTATAACGCAGCGAGACACGTTAGCCGTCCATGAACAAGAACTGAAGAGGATTTAATTCGTATTGTCATTCTCTGCACTCGATCTGGCTCTACACTCCTGAATTCTTCGTCCCATTGCCAATTCTCTTCTGCCTTAATTCCTCCTCAGGTGTTGAGTAACCGATTAAACTTTGACCTGTTGGTCATCCTTGCTTTTTGTATATTCTCAGTCCATCAAGGGACACTCAGATCTCGGATGTTGTTTTGTTATAGTCTAGTTTACTCGTACTTATTATTTCACATAGTAACTGCAAAATAAGTAAATAACTGTGATATCAATTATTGCTCAGTGTCGTACAGAGCTGAAGGCGACACCCCGTGACATGGAAACTGGTGGCAGCCAACTCACATTTCCCGTCTCGTAGGCGGGATCCACCGCTCCGTGCTGACACTGAGAACAGTTGAGGATAAGGACCCCGCGTTTGGTAGCGCTTAGGAGAGCTTCCATGATGTCCTTGCGGGCAGTGGGCGCGTTGCCAGCTCCGTAGGTTTGAAGAACGACGCCTTCAACGGGAGGTTTCAGGAAAGACTCCACCTGAGGTAGCATAGCGGGTATGGCTTGTTGTATGCCCTCATTTGCCATAACATCGCCATACTACAACAATGCCAGAAAGGGGTCGCACCTTCTGCCACTAAGCGTTCATTACGCTGCTGCAAAACAAGTGCTGGTCGGCTGCGATGTCTTGAAGAGAAAGGTTCTTTTTATTTGTGAAATATTTTTAGATTCTGGCTCCGAGCGTCTTTCGCAGCTACTGGAGCACTGCAAATATTCTAGTAAAAAACATTACCGAATGCCTTCTGCAGCTCTGCACGCTGTAATGCACACGCTCACTAATTTTGAGATTTTGCGGTGAAAACGTTTTTCTATTACCCTATTTGTGCATAATGCCTCACGACTTCAGTGCAATAAAAATCCAGCAACCTTGGAAAAAAGAAACTTTATAACGCGCTAAGGGTTCACTCTAGATAATGAACATCAGCAACTTGAAGGGTAAGATCGAGCTTTATCTAAGTGTACCACATCTAACCACATGGAAACAGGGACAACTTTGTGTCTGCAAGCAACCACTGCAGGCGCTGCATTTGGTGGAGTTGGTGAAATCTAAAAGGCGCGGTTTGTTTAACGTATTACCTTCGGCAAAACGACTGCTTATACAGCAAATGTGCTTCCAGCTCGACAACGATGTACAATGTCATACAACAATAAAAAGGTACAGAATTTGACTTCTATAATGCGGTAAAGAAAGATTACTACACTGCCTGCTCCCAGATATCCCATTCATATGCGAGTACGAGTTTTCGAAACTCAAAAATTGAAAAACAAAAGACCATGTAAGCTGCAAGCAGTTCCGCCAAGCTAATAGTATTTAGATGTTCTGACGGATCCAGCTTAGAGAACAGTGATAATTTTTTGTGGGTGTTGTGTTACAAGCACATTCAATGAAGTGTCTAAACAACATACCAGTTGAGTAGGTGATCATTTCCTCATCCGCACAGCAATACCTCATGGCTGCCACATTTAGAATGTTCCAGACCAGGTCCTATTCAAGTCTATTTTTTCTCCAAATAGTCTCCTCAGAGGCTTTTGAGTCTATACTTGCAATAATTGTGGTGAGGTTAGTAACCTTCAACATATGCTCTCACGGTGCCCCTCGTTACGGGGCCCAAGTCGGCTCACAAAACAGGATTAGGACTCTGTCTTGCGAAGTTAGGAGTCAATCGGTTCAGAGTCCACAACTACGGGCTGTCTAGAGAGCCCACGACGCGGCGGTGAGGCTATAGGCCTCTCCGTCCCCACGTCAGAGCAACCTGCAGCGTTGCTCTAAAGGAGTATACCGTTTCTCAGGGCCCAATAAAGTTCTGTGTCTGTCTGTTTGTCTATCTCGCCTATCTCAAGCAACTATAATTTAAAAATTATAGGCCGTTGTTGTTGCGATGACAATACTCTTATGTATAGCGCTTCTGATTAGTTTTATTTCCTTCTATTATTATTTAAAATTTTTGTTATCATCATTTTGCGTGTATCTTGTATATTAATACTATGATGTTTCTTTTTCATGTGTAATTTTTTTACAGTATACATCCCCCCAGTTGCTTCCTGTAAATTAAATAGTGAAAGCCATTTCTGCTCACCAGTTCGGCAGTGATGCTGGGGAAGAGGCGGAGAAGGCCGACATCACGGTTCAGCTTGTCGTGGGCACGAAACTTCTCTCCCATTGGTTCAGCAAGAATCAAAGTTCCATTAACTGAGAAAAAAAAAGCGGATAGAATGCACGAAATGCATATTGTCGCAGTTTCTGCTCACGCTCTTATAGTTGAAGTATAATAATATCTTACCGAGAATATAACTGAATGAACGACTTTTTTGGCGACGTTAGACTCATTTGTTGCTGAAAGATTTGTCCGACATAGCTTTATCCGTGTTCGTCAATATCGGTCTGACACAACGATGCGCATCTTAACCAAAGCAAAACTTTTTCGGTAACTGTAAATGACAGGAAGACGACTTACTCTCGACGTTGATGCCGATGGTCACGAGAGGCGCCATGTTGAACGACGCGAACGCATCGAGGTGGGATATGCTGAACTTGCTCACGCGATTCCCACGGAAGAGTTGATTGTGGAACATCAGTGTTACCTGTTGGAGGTAAGTGAAACGAGGATAAAAAGCAGTTGTTCGATGCATAATAACATAGCCAGTGTTGTTACTATGAAAATACACCGAGCAAATTCCAAAGAACCATACACGAGAGGACGTGATGGCGTGGAACACAGTTTAATTTCATCTCTATACCAATAATGAAAACCTATCATTGCTATTTAGTAGGGCCCATATTCACAATATACCTTGTAAGCATTTGTATCTGGGTCGTGCAAGTTTGGTGTAAACAAGGCTTTTGGGGAATGGAAATGAACACTTTTTCCAAGAGCCGCATAATGTTGCCAAACGTTTCACTCGAATAGCTATAACCTCAATAAATACAAGCTTTTCATTTTGGCTAGTGGAACTGTGAGTAAATCCTGCAGTCAGTATCACAAAACAGCAAGTGACCAGAAAGCTCTCTCGTCCGTTTAATTTCTAATCGCGAACAAATACCTGTCGCAGTCTCTACATGTTGCAGCATACGATACATTGAGGTAGCATTATCCTTAGCATCAAGAGAAAGCACACGCGATCCTCTTGCTTTCTTTTTTAGCTACTACGGAATACCTTACAGTTTAACTTTTACCAGTGATGGTCTCTGGCTCTAGACTTATTTCAAGCATTGCCGGCAGCTGCGAGCGTTAGTACAATAATAAATATTTTGTGGTGATGTGGACTCACTTCTGGTACTACGTAGTTTCCAGCTATGATGAGGGCATTCAAGAGGTTCTCTCTTCCATCGCTTCGGGGTTCAAACACTGGTATCTGCACCGGAAAAAGCACAGACAAAGAAATGTATACACCAGAGCTGAAATGAAAGCACGTGGAACAGAGGAAGAAAGGAAAATAGGAGGAAAAGAACGGCAGGGAGGTTAACCAGCCTATAGACAGCCGGTTTGCTACCCTGCGCATGGGAGGGGGATGGGGGATATGAAAGATAGAGAGGAGAGAGGGAAGGAAGATAAAGACAGCACATTAGGCAGCATACGCGCACACACTCAATCGTTCTTGTCTTTCGTGGTGTGTGACATTGCTGTTACAGCCACTTGTTCAAGTCCGTGTCGCGTAGAAATTTCAACAGTGTTTTTGTCGCCTTCTGTTGCAATTTCTTCTCTCGGGCACTTGAAAAAATAGAGTCCACAGACATTTGGCTGTTGTCGATGCGCGCAAAAACGTACGCCAGTAACTGTCTCTGGATGTCATACAACGGACAGTCGCACAGGAAGTAGTGTAGCGTCTCTTCGCAACGACAGGCATCGCAGAGAGCGTTGTCGGCCGTTCCTATGACAAATGAATAAGATTTTGTAAATGCCACTCCGAGCCATAAGCGATGAAGAAGGGTGGCTTCTCTTCGGTCGAGTCCAGTGGGCATGCGGAGAGCCATCAAAGAGGACAGGTGGTGTTGACGATTCGTCGCGTTGCTTGGTGGGCACCATAGTGAAAACGTGATTTCACGCGCAAGTCGTCGAAGATTACTGGCAGCATCAGTCCGCGAAAGTGGTATGGCTTCTTCTCGTGTTCCTTCAAGAGGTGCCCGCGTGGCAGTATCGGCATGTTCGTTTTCTATGACGCCGCAGTGACTTGGCAGCCACTGAAACGTCACATGATGCCCTTTCTCATTTGAAGTGTGGAGAAGGCATCGAATTTCGAAAACAAGCTGTTCGTACGGCCTGCAGGTATCCCATAGAAACATGGGATGCAAATTGGTCTGGCGAATAATTCCTTAGCGAAGCTTAAGCTTTCTCGCTATAGAGGAAAATCTTGGTAATCAGTGAAAAACAAAACTATAACCGTATATAGTGTACGCGCATACATTCATGCAAATTGCTGCAATATTTTCATATTTACAATCAATCAGTCAATCAGTAAATTAATCAATCAATCAATCTCAAACTCAGTTATCAGTAAAGTAACCTATGAGATGTTGCTATGTGGTCTAAGTTTTTGCACAACTTTTTCACCACTTCTTTGTCGAGTCTGTTGTATAGTACACACGACTACAGCGATTAATCTGCTGGATGATATGTGCAGATGAAGTGGCCCTTACAGCGATGACATAAAATTGTTGTAGAATCTACGTTCACTGTCGTTCTTTATGAAAGGGAACACGCGAACGCGTGGCCTGCGCTCTGCGGCGGCCGCCTAGAGCACCATCAACCGACAGTAAAAGGAAGCACGTTCGCTTTCAGCGTCATCTGTTGTCCCAAAAAATAGTAACGTGTTTTGGCCGGTAGACAAGCGCTGCTAGGTTGCACCCTCTCTCTGCTCACGCATGCAATGCGTAGTCCACTGCCAACATGCCATGGCGCAAGCTGCAGTAATCGCCCGATATCGTTCACCGCGTGAGCGATCAGACAACGTAATATAGCAGCGCTTGTCTACGGGTCATAACTCGTTATCTTTCTCGGCCATAGATTACGCAAAAAAGCGAACGTGCTTTCTTCGCTTGTCGGTTCGTGGGGCTGTAGGCAGCCGCCGCAGAGCGCAGGCCACGCGTGCGCGTGTTCCCTTTGCTAAAGAACTACAGTGTACACCACGCTGCTTTTTTGTGCAAGTCATGCCATGCATTTCGACAGGTCAGACAACTTGATAAGCTTACTAGCGAACGATGCTAAATAGATTCAATAGTGTTCTGAAGATTTTATTAATAACTGGCTAACCTCCCTGTCCTTCTGCTCATTTCTTCCCTTACTGGAGCCTGAAAGGGTGAGATTCTTCACTAATACCGGCGAAAATATAAACATGTGGAGGGAGTTGATAGAAAATCAAGCTGCACCATTTCAAAATCCAAGCAGTGCGAGATCGGCCTCAATTCATGAGGTGTCAGTTTTCAAACGCACGAGAACATATCGTGAGATTTCTAGCTAGATGTATTTTCAAGGGAATGACTATAAGCATTAAACGTGCAAATAAAATAAAAAAAGATGTGCTTAAATCTGTATTCACACGTCGGACTAAATTAATATTTAAGCTTGCGGATTGCGTACTAAGTCACCATACGTCACCCTTTCCAGCGTTTCCGCTTAACTCCGCGCGGACCAATTCATATAACGACGGAAGCCCAAATCGCTGTTGGGATCCTCGGGGACCAATACCGAAATCGTCGCTTGTAGCTTGAGTTTTCCCCTGTCGTGTGAATGCTGGCTGCGGAGGGATCCGAATTACGTCACATGTCACTTGGCTGAACCGGCCGCGATCACGTCCGTCGTGTGAATACAGCTGAAAGAGTACCTGAGAACCAGTGACGACGACCGACTTCCCGAGGTTCTCCAGCAGGAAGGAGAGCGCAGAAGATGTGTAGGCCATAGTATCTGTCCCGTGTAGCACGATGAAGCCATGGTAGGAGTCGTAGTACTTCTGCAGGCAAGAAAAAAAGAAAGAACGCGGAGTAGAGGTGTGGAGAGAACAGAGCGAATGCGCAAACTGTAACGTGTTATTTCCAAAAGTTGTATGTCCCCCAAGACACGAGCCGGAGCACACGTACAATACTGTTGTGCCACGAGAGCCAGCGTTCATAAATAGCATCTGAGTATTACAGTATTATTTTGAAAAATACTGACCACCTCCACTTTCAACTGCTTGTCTTCACATAGAAAACGGGGAGTAAAAACAAACATAACAATAAGGATATTGGGGTCGTAAGGAACAACAGCACGCCTAAAGCCTTAGGACGCGGTGGACTGCTATAGGTGCTCCGTACAATGTTATAACGGGCTTGTGTTTTTTTTTTCGCTTATTCACAACGGAGTATCAAGGTATGTGGACCAATTTAAGTAAGCTGGTCGAAGAAAAAAAGCACTCATGATCACAGAGGCACACATGATGAGGCTAGTATAGAGACGTACATACATGCCATGATAAAAGTTAGCGCGCTTATTTGGCCGAATGCATCGCTGAATAAATTTTGGCTCGTGTTGCATTCTCGAAACGGAGGATTGTGCAAAATAAAACGGCACATGAAAGACAGAGACGATGGCACCTGCGCACGTGTCGTCGTCTCTGCCTTTTGTGTGCTGTGTTTTTGCGCAATCATTCGTTGCCGAAAAAAAAAAATCTACCAATCAGCCCCTGAACCTGCTCTACTAGACTGCAAACTTGAAATACAAGCAGTCGAAAGCTCGGCTGCACTCATGTATAGACAAGTAAGCCGCAACGAGCGAGTACATATGTTTTACATTGGCTCAAGCCTTTGAACGCCTCCTGCGAGCATTTTTGTCTTTGTACGTATTTGCGAACGTTGTTAAGACCAACGTTGGTTAAGACCTCAATAAAGCACCCGACACGCTTAACTACGTAGCTGAACACTTATTTGATACCGTGGCTGATGACGAACAATTCCTGCAGCCCCATTTGTAATGTGTGGCTAGCCTTATCGCACTAACTGGTCGTGGAATCCAAATAGTGTGGCGCCTAATGAGATTCTACGCTTGCGCCATGTAACAATGCGTCTATTGACATTATTCTTCACCTGCCATGGTGACTGCACAGAGTCCTTTTTTTTTAATAAAAAAAGGTACTGGAGTTTCTCTGTAGTAAAACACTCAACTGCCATGATTGCGTCACCAGGGTTCGATTCCGGTTCCAACCTTTAGTTTTAAGGTCACGTGGGTATTCGCACTACACGCCGCGTCTATGGAAGCCAGCATTTGAGGAGTCACTTCAACCTGTCACGTATTGTACAGCATGATTCTAAATCAAATTACTGTATATCCATGAAGTGAATGCTGACTATGAAACGAAGCTAAGGTCTATAATATCTACGTTGTCGCCGACTAGTGTAAAGGGAATATGGGTGGATAGACGCACGAATGCACGGACTGATGCACGAATGGACGAACGGACAGAGTACGGTATATTTTAAATTTATATGCGCGCTATGAACGTTGCATGTATGGTATATGTAACAACTGTGTTTAGATCTGACGGGATGCCATGTCAACGGCGTCAACAGACATCGTGAGTGCCGAAGGAGCTTCGCTGCTTTAGAAAAAAAGAAAGACAAAACGAGAGTATAGTTTTTTTTTGAAACACGACACTTTCTGTTGTCAGTCGATTCTACAGCACCGTACTCGAATTTGTGGTTTCTTCACCTTTGTAGGTATCAATTAGCCTTATTTGAAAAAAATAATTGTTGATGATGACGCACCTACAGAAAGGACGAACTGTAGGATGCAACAAAAAGAAGTATCAGATGAAGAGCGGAATGATAGCAACGGTCTCAGATATTGATCAATTCTAAGAACACCTTTATTTGCACGAGCATGTTCAAGGGCATGGTGTGAACGTACCTTGATGTCTTTGGCGATTTGGAGCCAGTCGTCCATGGTGGCGTTCGAAGAGTCCAGCAGGGGATTGTACTCCGATATCGTGTAGACCACTCGTAGGGAATCGCCAGTGTCACTGTAGGATAAGAAAACATACAATGGTAATCATAGCAAAAAAATAAATACAAAGACCAGTCCATGTAGTTGTTCAGTTATCGATTGAAAATAACAAAAAAATATAGGAGCACCAAGGTGAAGTACGAGCAGCCCTAGATGCTTTTACAGAGTAGATTGCAAGCTTAGACATTTATAACAAGTTAATTCCTCCAACAACACTTGAAGCTATATCATTAACGCCCACGTCCCCGCCGCGGTGGTCTAGTGGCTAAGGTACTCGGCTGCTGACCCGCAGGTCGCGGGATCGAATACCGGCTGCGGCGGCTGCATTTCCGATAGAGGCGGAAATGTTGTATGCCCGTGTGCTCAGATTTGGGTGCACGTTAAAGAACCCCAAGTGGTCGAAATTGCTGGAGCCCTCCACTACGGCGTCTCTCATAATCATATGGGCGTTTCGGGACGTTAAACCCCACACATCAATCAATCAAACCATCATTAACGCCTACGTCCCATAAACTTTTGTTACCGGTTTTACTCACAGGCAGAGTCATGAAACACAGCCAATGGAATCGGTAAAAATTTTAGGTACTAGTATGGGCGTGTTCTTGCAGCACCGAGGTACATATATCGCGCCCGGCTCCTTCAATACGGATCACAGCTTAATAACCAACGGAGTAGGTAGCATTCTACAGGCCGTAATGCACTCATAGAAACATGAGTGAGATACTGCTGTAGCGAGAGCTACATTAGCCGCATTCTAGCTCCTATGCTCTCTCTCTCTCTCTCTCTCTCTCTCTCTCTCTCTCTATATATATATATATATATATATATATATATATATATATATAAGAGTGTTTTCACACTCGTTGTTTGGCTTATAGATGGCGCTGACTGTCACTCCTACTTCTAAATTCACATATAAACCCCAAAAAGCGGATGGAGGGACGGCCGTTGTGATAGCTCAGTGGTTAGAGCATCGAACGCGTTATTCGAAGGTCGTAGGTTCGATTCCTGCTCACAGCTGGTAATTTTTTCATCCACTTTTCTTTCTTCTTTCTTCTTAATTACATTCCATTGGTTCTAATAACTTCTCCTGTACATTCCTTGGCATTACTGTCTGTTATATCTCATTAATATAGTGTTAAAACACGGAAATACGAGCCCTTAGGTATACACTTCTCTCCCTTATTTTATATATATATATGTATATATATATATATATATATATATATATATATATATATATATATATATATATATATATATATATATATATTTGTGTGTGTGTGTGTGTGTGTGTGTGAAATAAAAAACGAAAAAAATGAAATACTTAAAATGTTCTCTCGCATACGTTTCCTAGCGCGTGAGCATACATCTCGTGTATAGCGTATTTTCCGTGACGTTAATTGCAACCCTTACACGGATCATCTGTGTCCTCGTGCATTCGTACATGCATGCCTCTTTTTTTTTTTTTTTTTCACGTTGTCAGGCAAAACGGTACTACACTTAACGGCAAATGACTTCGTAATCGACGAAACCCAGTTTACTCACGGCAGGACCAGCGGAGGCTTCTCGCAGTCGCCGAAGTGCTCCTTGGCGTATTCCCAGTCGTGAAGCTGCGGAAACTCGCGCAAGCGCTTGTCCAAGACTCCCGGCGCCGGCTTGAGAACTACGAGGCACGAGTGAATTATCGGTGCTTTACCTGACATCGCGCGATGCATTAGCGCAGTTACGAGCTGATTGTGTGTTTGCTGTCGCCTAATAACTAGCAGACCTTGTTACTGAACTTAGGGCATCACATTTCCTTAACTGATTAGATGTTTATGCCGGCCGTAAAAACTTAACGCGTCCACGGGCAACTACAGGTTGGTATGTGCCACAGGAATTGGGCGCATACCCACCACCAAGTAACGCAAGTGCGAACGTTCATCTAAAACGCTGAGCGCGTGAAACGCGTGAAAGAAAGAGAAAGCAAGCGGTAGGAGGAAAGAAAAAGAGACAGAGAGAAATGAAGCGAATAAAGACGTAAAATAAAGATAAAGGTAAAGAAATGGGCGTGAAAAAGAAAGAGCATTGAGAATGACCGAAAGAAAGAGAAATAGAGAGACACAGAGAAAGAGAGACAAGAGCAGAGATATGAAACAGGAAAAAAAGAGAAATATGCATAGAAAAAGCTAGAAAGAGAAAGAAAGAGAGAAAGAAAGGAAGACATAGATACAGAAGTGAGATACAAGGCAGAGAGAGAAGAAAGAAAGTCAGAGAAACAAGGAAGCCCACCATGCTACGCTTCTCCTTCAAGCTGTAGGTACATCTAGTGCAAAACTGTCATAATGTTTTTTTTTTTTTTTTTTTTTAAGTGCGGAGCACTTTTGGGGGGAAGGTTGTCGTATGATGTCGTCACTTGACGTAACGCAGGCAAAATCACATAGCCATCTGTTGCACATCCTCACACAAAATTTAAGAGAAGCCTTTTCCCTCTCGTTCATGGAAATCGTTGATTATTTTAATGCAAGCAAAACCACATATAGCATGGCCATCAGATCCACCCACCTCCGTCCTTGTCCTTGACCATGCCGATGGTACCTCCGGTGTAGATGACCAGGACGCGGGCCTCGTTGCTGGTGGCATGTTTCTGCCACGCTGTGTCGTCGTCGGTCAGTGAGTACAGTACCTTGGGGACGTACGAGGCATCCATTGGAGCAACAACGGCCATTGTGGAGATTCGAAAACCAGCACCAGTGCGGTCGCTCGGGGAGCAAATGGCATGACGACTGGTTTCCTGCGGCTATGTTTATACTGGCGTACCCGAGCACGGACTCCGCCCCCGAGCTGGAACCAGTACTGATACGGCGCGTCCTTAAATTTTCCCTCTCTGGGTGAGCATACATTAATTGTTTTTTTTTTAATATATAGTGTACAAGGGGGAACTAATCTTATGTGCTTTCACTATCGAAAAAATTTGCATGATATGCGTCACGCATCTATAATCTCGACATATGAATATGAGTCACATGTATTCTCGTATGATCACGCAGGATTATTGGATATGTGTCACAAATGAGTTTATTCTATAGTTGTTTCGGCTTTGAAATAATAAAAATAATAATAATAATAATAATATATTCTTTTTATTTTATTATTATTATTATTATTATTATTATTATTATTATTATTATTATTATTATTATTATTATTATTATTATTATTATTATTATTATTATTATTATTATTATTATTATTATTATTATTATTATTATTATTATTATTATTATTATTATTATTATTATTATTTGTCGTAGTAGTAGTTGTGGTTGTCGCGCTTTTTGTTTAAATGGTCCTGTGTGCACAACGAAAATCTGTAAAACAGGGACATGTCGTTCGAAATCACTAACCACAGAGCCATTATTTCAGTATTGTTTTGTAAAGCTGTGTCTCTTGCCGTGGCACGGGAATTCAACCAAAATTTTTTCGGTAGCAAGTTACTCGGCGTCTCATTATCTTCCATACTGAAGTAATTGACAGCCTCGTGTGTGACACACGAAGCTGTCACAAGAGAGTCGAGCCACGAGACGCTTACACAAATGTTCGGTGCCCACCCGAGATATTGAGTGAAAATGTAAATGACGAGCACATGCTACTAAATAAAAAACGACTGCCCATTACTCCTCTCCGTCGTTGCAGCTTCAAGCACCAAATTTAATTGAATGACGTGGCGATACACTGATGTGTAGGCTGGGAGTCGGGGTGGCATATTCAGAAACTCGTACATATTGCAATGGCCGATGTACTTGAGTGCACTGGAACTGGCCATTTGTCACCCGCCTATGACGCTGCTCGCGCACAATGAAACAACAACCTGCAGACCTGGTGATCGGCTTTTTAAAGAAAGAAAAGCTTTTGGCGCCTGACCTACTTAGCTCCTCGTCATGCCTGAAAGTCACACGAGCCCTTCTACAGCACTGTATGTCGGTACAGTTTGAATTAGAATGGTGAATCATTTCGACTCATTCCTTCTATCTATTCTGTTATGTTCCCCCTGTGTAGGGTAACAAGTTGAAAGGTCGTCAACCCCTTGCTTTTCCCCCACTTTCCCTCTCGTATCTCTCACTCACGTCATGCGATTACACTTTTCGAAAAACTGCCCCAAATGTAGAAGAGGACAGATGCCTGGGGGTATGCTAGTGACTGTTCTTGAAGTGTACTTATTTTCCCACCTATACCTATATTTGTACCTATATTTGATGCGAATTTAAGTGCCAGAACCATATGACTGCGAGACGTGGTGTAGTGGGAAGACTCCGAAAAATGCAAACACTAGTGTTCTTTCACGTGGATCTAGATCTATAAGACACGGGCATCCAGCGTTTTCTTCTCATGAAGAATGCAACCGCCTCAGCCGGGATCGAACGTGTCACCTTTAATTGGGTAAGCAACCAAGCACCAGTACCATTGTACCGCTACTGTTGCTCTAGGTTTTCTTGTGTGAAACACTGCTTTCCGCCTAACGAATCATTAGTGGGGTTGGCTGACGTTAGCTGGATAGTGCCACCCAAAACGATTACTCAGCTGTGAAAATGAACATTTAGGAGCATAATTTTGTGCACAAGGAACACGTACGCTTGACAAAGCAATGGAACACACAAGGCGTAACAATCAACAATACATTTCGGAACAACGTGAGCCTTTTCATACACTTGCTGCCCGTAAATATGCACGGGCGCATCTACAGGGGCGTACAAGTGTCCCCCCCCCCACACACACACGCACACTACTTAATTTCTGAATGTACAAGGTAAGGATGGGCAGGACTCAGGTATGGGTTCTCCCGCCCCACGCTCAGCTGTAAGTATAAGCACCCCATAAAATGACACCACCTTCATAAAAATCGTTTGTCTGCCACAGTGTACATGCCTTACGAAACTATTTCACATAAGCATGCAGCGCTCTCAAAGAAAAAAAAAGCAACATATTTTGCTAACAGTACGATAGATGATTCACTGATGCACCTAGCTTTCAATTTGTAGATATTATGCCCTTTAATAAACGCGTAATTTCGTCCTTGCTCCTGGAGAGGCTTATTAACTTGTGCGATTAGCATCCCTAATGAACAATGAGTTCCATGGACCCCTATTGTTGCCAGCGGCTCAGTGCTGGAAATTTTACGTAACACATATGCAAGCACTAAGCCACGTGTAAAGGAATTAGGTGTACCAAAAATTATGTCTCGTGGAAAGTGTGAGAACTTAGCGTTTGGTTATTTGAAGCAGTAAATACTTTTTAATGCATATATTTTAATATTAAAAACAAAATTTAAACCCACCCGAATTCATTCGCACCAGATGAATGTCTAGAGGCACCAGTTATCTGCTGATTGGTTGGTTGGTTGGACCAAAGAGGAATGACTCAACGCACCGCGGGGGATCGGTCATGAATCGCACGGCACTGAGATTTTGGGGAAAAGCCCCCTGCCATGCCAATAAATAGATAAATATAAGGAGAGGATTCCTTAAATTTTTTTAGATAAACGAAAAGCTTAGTTGTGCTAACAGACTATATGGATTATTATTGAAAAAAAATCAAATGCAATAAAATGATAAGAATAATAAAATAATAAAATTTATAGTAAAAATATATAAATTAGACTAATTTTGAAAGTAAGTAATGAGTATGTACTTGTGAGATCAGCATGGTAGCCGTTTTGATTTTTTTATATAGTTATATATCGATTCATATATGTTCCTGTTGCAATGACCTAGTGCCGAAGCCCCTAGGGAGAGTAGTCCTGTTTTCGACCCCTTAAGCCCGTGTTTTCAATAGGCTGGTGTTAGAAATTTTTGCCTTAAATTTCGATACCGGCGACATTCTGTGAAAAAGTGCTCTATAGTTTCTGTTTGTCTACAATAGTGAAAATGGGGAGAAGAAAGAAAACCATGTCTGCATAAATAAAAGTTTAAAGGTGGAATTCTGCATTGTAATTTACCAAATGTCACTTCAAATTGTCTTGTTGCACACCAGTGGAAGTCGTAGTCATGTGTAGAGCAGGGGAGGGGTCATAGCCCCCTTCCCCTCCTCAGTGCCTACACCCTGTGTTTCCTTCTAAGTGAAGCTTCTTGTACCAATGACTGTACTAGTACGCATTGTTTCTTATGTGTAGAAAAAAGTGTTGCACACGATGAGCTGTACCAATGAAACTTAAGGTGCTGGAAATCTGTGCCATTTAGAACAGAAGAGTTGGTGCATTCCTGCCATATACAGAAATTTTGAAATCGCGCGATTGTATACAGGCCACAGGGTGATAGAATATTTAGGACGGGGCCCTGAATTGATTCTGTCGCTAGTGTATCCGCCGCTTCATTTAGTGTTAGTCCAGTGTGACCTGGCACCCATACCAAACGAACAACACGAACATGATTGGGTATACATGTATAAAATTCTAATAAACAAGTCGAAGTCTTTAGTACTGTCAAAGCAGTGCAAATTGACAAAGAATCGTTCAGTAGAACATCAGAAGAAATATACATTGGGAGCTTGCGTATGGTCAGAATCACTGCCATTATTTCTGCCTGGGATATAGACGTAAAATCGGGCAGTCGCAGTGAGTAAGACTACAGTGGCTAGAATACTAGAAGTGTGATCACCGCCAAGTGGCTGCAAGGTAATGACGCCGCTTTGCGATGTTTCCGCTAGGTGGCGCGCGCTGTCGTATACACGTCAGGCTCTCAGGCTGGCACGTTGTTCAACGCTGCAACTCGCTGGTCAAACGTGATTCTTTTGCCTGTTTAAGCTGTTCTTTCATGCTGCATTTGCTGTTCGGACAGCCTTCTCGTGTCTACGTTATGTCTTTTGCGGAGTGTGTGCCATGAGCAGACGTCAGAGCCACTGTTTTGTGCCCAGATGCTCAACTGGGTACCAATCGTGCAAGCAGAAGCTTTCATTGTTTGGAGTCCCAAAAGACGACCATTTGTTCCAGCAGTGGCAGCGTAATATACCAAGAGCAGACAAGCCTTTGGAAAAGAACGCTGCCGTTTGCGAGCTCCGCTTCGATCAGCAGTTCATCTCGCGCCACTTCGAGCACGTTATCAACGGTGAGGTATTGCGTTACAGAGATAGGCCTGTACTATTGCCGCATGCCGTCCAAACGATCTTTCCAAATGCTCCTTTCTACCTTTCGAAAGGTGTGGCGCAAAAAAGCAACCCCAAGGAGAGATCACACCCACCACTTGTGATTCCTCAGAAAAGACGTCGAAAGGACGACGACCGGGAGCCGCAAGAGGAGCCGCAGGATGAACTGGAGCCACCCAACCTTCCAGCTGCGCCCGTTTACGACTACAAGCACGTTCCACTTCCTTCAAGTCAGTGGGGAAGGCACGTATTCAGTGAGGAACCGCTAAATGTCACTTACAGCTTGTGCACGCCTAGCTCGGACATGAGCCTTCTACACGCAGAGAAACTTGTTAAATTTTGTGCTAGTGGAAGTGCCATAACACATGAAGTATTTCTGCGTGGTGTGAAGATTTCGATGAATGGGCCATATGAACCAGCTTCTCTTCTGGAGACTATTGATGCCATGCCAGTGTGTTCAGGGGCAAGCTTGTTGTGCGAGTTCCCTTTTGCATCATCTGGTAAGAACATGAAGGTCTGGAATGGGAAGCTCTACCACCACAAGTGTAAATGTACCTCAAGTCAAGATGAAAGACGCTGCATGAGTTGCAAGTACTTGAGAAAGCTCCTTATCAATCAGAGATACTGGAAAAAGAAAACAGCAGGCAAACTGACCCAT